CTTATGTATAGAAGCCAACTCCAGCTGCAAACCATTTCTACCAGTGAAAAACATAAAATTACACATCCTTAGACTGGTGAAAGTGACTGGTAAGATCATGGATGTGTCCGCTCTGACTGCACCACCTGCGAGACGCAGTCCCCCAAAACTCTCTGCTGCTCAGTCTGTTAAATGTATTAACAACATAGACTGACTGTTCGTACATTTTATATGATTTTAAATTTAGTGTGTTGTGTCTGTAAATGTAAATGTTACTGACCCCGGCTCCAAGCCAAATTTATCCAAAAGGAGACAATAAAAAAAAGAAAACCTGAAATTCTGAAACGTCATTGCAACTTCTTTGGTTTAAAGTTTAAGATTTAGAGTTTAAATTTATAGCTGAATGTATATTTAAATAAGATTTGGTCTATGACGTAAACAAAGAAAACAGAAAAGACCCTGTACATGTAGATTAATCAATAGAGTAAAAATTCTAAAATATTGTGAACTCTTTCAGGCAGTTGAAAAACCACCAGATGGGATTATATATATATATATATATATATATATATATATATATATATATATATATATATATATATATATATATATATATATATATATATATATATATATATATATATATGTATGCATCTAACCAAAAGAATGAAAACACTAAACCTGGACTTACTTTTAGATTTAAACTTCCACACGACCAGAGCAGCAGCTGCTGTAAGGACCAGCCCCAAAGCCAAACCCAAGAGGATCGAGGCCCAAGAGAAGAACGAACACGACTCCAGGAATTCATCTGAAAGAAACATTTCAACCATTTAATATTGTTACTGCAGCGTACAACAGAGCACAGACTAAATCAAATCTAAACTGAACTCCTAAATCTTGTGTCAGAGCGGACATCCAGCTTATACATAAAGATATTATTCAGTGTATACAGGAAACTGCAGGCAAAAAGACACTAATAAACTGTTAAACTGATAGAAAATATAGATTTAATGTTTATTCAGTGCAGCCAGGCTTAGATGGAAAACAGGATGAAGAGGAGAGGGTCAGATGGAGCAGAGGATTGTCTGTGTCCTGACCTGCGATGCTGAGCTGGGCCTCTCTGCTCTGGCCGCTCTCCTGCTGCTTCACTCTGCAGGTGAACGTGTTTCCGAGCCTCTGCTCCACACTCAGTCTGCTGCTCACAGTGAACAGCTCGTCACTCTCTCCTCTCTGAGCCTCAGTCCTGAGCAGAACCGTCCCCTCTGAGTCCAGCCACTCCAGCTCCGGCCCCGGGTACCAGCCCCTGGACTCACACCTCAGCACAGGAGACCCCGAGCGCTCTTTGGTCAGACTCACAGAGGGAGGAGCCACGGACACTGGGGACAGAGGAACAGCCAAAGAGCACATCAAATACTTTATCAACATCACTCTCTTCAGATCCTGTGAACTCCCACAGGCTGAAGTGATAAAGAAACACCTTGTTGACATAGAAAACAAATGTGTCACTTATGCTGCAACAAGAACAGAAGTGCTACAGTGGAACATGTTAAAGTGTCATATGAAACACACTCACCGACCAGCAGAGAGACCTCCGCTTTGACGTTAATCTGGGGCATGTAGCAGGTGTACGTGCCCACATCACTGGGCCTGACTCGGGTCAGACTCAGGGACATGTCCCCCTGCTGCAGACGACTCTCAGACAGAGACGTGCGGCCCAGGTACAGGGAGTTCTGGTCCCTGAGGAAGTCCAGACCATCGCGGCGGATGTGGACGTAGCGTGGAGTCAGGTCGTGTCGTGCCCACTCCACCACCATGTTCCTGAGGTCTTTAACAGGCTCCAACTGACAGGGCAGAGTGACATCACTGCCAACGGGCGCTCTGATTGGCTGAGAGGGAGCGACCATTGTATTCTGACCTGAGGAGATCATAACAGACTGTAGATTAGAAATTAGTAAATGTGTTAGTGCCAGTGTTGAAGAGAAAAGCAAAAGAAATAATAACAATAATAATAATAAATCAGGGGTCTCTGGTCATTATGGGCTCTTCATTTTCCATCAGTGCACTTGTAGGACACTCTTTTTTTTGTCATTCACTTTTTATTGGGTTTTTATCTTGTAAAAATAAACAACATTCAAACAGTAAGAACAAAACAAGACAGTGGGGGCAGATAAACAGATATAACTACTTTATACAAAGTCAGGTCTTCTTGTCTTTACATACCGCAACCATTTTGACCAATAGGTTTCAAATATGTCACTTTGTAACTTCAATTTAAATGTGATCCTTTCCATTTTAAAAATGCTAAATATCAAGTCTATCCATTCATCCAATGTAGGCGTCTCCTGTCCAAGCCACTTCCGAGTTACTCCTTTCTTGGCAGCCACCAGCAATACTCCCATCAAGTATGAATCTGCTTTAGAAAGGTGCAACGAAACAAAATCTCCCAAATACATTATTTTAAAATCATATTGAATCTTCCTTTTAAAGACCATTTCCAGTATTGCATGAACTTGTCTCCAAAATGGAGCCACAGAGGGACAATTCCAAAAAATATGAAAATGGTTAGCTTGTACTTGACCACATAACCTCCAGCAGCTGGTCTGATCAGAATATTTAGATGTTTGAGCTGGTGTACAGAAGTATCGAGTTACATTTTTCCAACAGAACTCCCTCCAACAGGGGGCGCTTGTTACTGACCACTGCTGTGTGCAGATTCTGTCCCAGTCCTCAGTTGTAAGAATTATGTTGCCCTCTGCTTCCCATCTTGTTTTTATATAAAGAGTATCATAGTTCTCTAGATTTTGAAGGCTCGTGTATAATTTTGAAATAATTTTTTGATAGGAAGCGTCTTCATATGCATTTTGAAAAATTCCAAGAATATCACTTTTAGTGAAATTTGTTTTTTGGGGGAACTTTTTGGTAACAAAATCTCTAATTTGTAAGTATCTAAAATGATCATGATTTGTCAATCCAAACTTGTCCCTGAGGTCCTGAAAGCTTCTTATTACCCCGTCCTTAATTAGAGTGCAATATGTATTAAGGCCTTTATTACACCACATCTTAAATCTTGAGTCATATCTACCAGGAATAAAATCAAAATCATAAGCAAACCATTTAAAAAGTCCCGCTTTTCCCTGTAATTTATACCTTTTTAGTATTTCAGTCCATGTCTTTATGGAACTTTTGAGTAACTGCTTTGCAATATCTGACAGATCATCCAACAATGATGGGTCCCCCATCAACATACCGACCGGCAGGCCTCCTGTTATTCCGCACTCTATGTCCTTCCATTTTGAATTATAGCTAGGTTTGCACCAGCCCACTAACGGGCGTAACTGTGATGCTCTGTAATAATCTTGAAAACACGGAAGTGCTAGACCTCCTCTGTCCTTTGAGAGTTGTAATGTTTTATATTTCACCCTTGGTTTTTTGCCTGCCCATACAAATCTTGAGATAGTCTTATCCCATTCTGTAAAATATGTGTCTGGCTTCTCAATAGGAATTGACTGGAATAAGTACAACATTCTGGGGAGAACATTCATTTTTATTGTTTCCACTCTTGATGTTAAGCTCAGAAAGGGTATTATGTTCCATCTGTTAATATCTTTAGTAATTTCAGCTTTTAAGGGGCCATAATTGTTTTCTTCTAAGGTAGTTAAGTCAATTGGTAAATATATGCCCAAATATTTAATACATGTATTGTCCCAATTTAATTTATATGCACATCTTAAATGTTCAGGGGGTTTATAATTAAAACTAAGCACTTGAGTTTTATGCTCATTTAATTTATACCCTGAATATGACCCATATTCTCTCAAAACTGTAAATAATTGTGGCAATGATGCTGTAGGGTTGGATAAGTAAACCAGAACATCATCCGCAAACAATGCAATTTTTTGCTCAATATTTGACATCCATATTCCTGTAATCATATTATTCTGTCTAATCCACTGAGCAAGTGGCTCTATAAATATTGCAAAGGAAAGTGGACTTAAGGGACATCCCTGTCTCGTGGACCTCTCCAACCCAAAAGAGTCAGAGAGTGTCCCGTTCATTTTGATCCTAGCTGTTGGTTTATTGTATAAAGCCTTCCATATTTTAATAAGCGCCTCATCAAATCCAAATTTTTGCATAACTTTAAATAAGAATTCCCATCTTACAGAGTCAAAGGCTTTTTCTGCGTCTAAACTCAATAGAACAGCCTGCGTTTTATTCATATCTATGTGTCTCATAATTTGTAGTGATCTTCTAATGTTGTCATGAGTTTGACGTAATTTTACGAATCCCGTTTGATCTGAGTCAATTATCCCTGGTAAAATCTTGTCTAGTCTTTTGGCTAGAATTGATGTAAATATCTTGTAATCTAAGTTCAATACACTTATTGGCCTGTAGTTAAAACATTCTGTTTTATCTTTCCCCTCTTTTGGTATAACTGAAATAATAGCCTCTCTCCAAGATGGAGGTGTCTCTGCATTAGTCATTACCCAGTTGAATGTCTTTAATAATAATGGTGTCACCGCATCTTTCAATTTTTTGTACCATTCTGCGGTAAATCCATCAGGGCCTGGAGCCTTATTAGTTTTCAATCGTCCTATGGCAGAGTGAATTTCCTCCTTTGTAATTTGGGCAGTCAAAGCCTTGTTTTCATTTTCTGTAACAGTAGGTAATTTCAATGACCTTAACAAACTCTCCATTTTATGATCATTAGTTATATGAGGCTGTGAGTATAACTTTTTATAATACTTCTTAAAGCAGTTCTGAATTTTATCTAATTGATTGTACATTTCTTTGGTCACCGGGTCTTTAATCTTGTAGACTGTATTCTCTGACTGTTTTCTTAATTTGTATGCTAGTTGTTTGGTATATTTGACCCCTCCTTCATAGTAATTCTGTTTGACAAATAGTAGCTTTCGTTGTATATCTTGATTATAAATCTCATCTATCTGATTCCTTTTTTTCTTAATTTCAAATCTTGTTTGGTCATCTAATGTATCTTTATGTTTGGTTTCCAATGTTAATAGTTCTAATTGTAGCTTCTCCAGTCTTTCCAACCTTTGCTTTTTCAAATAAGAAGTTTTAGCAATCACTCTCCCTCTCATCACCGCCTTACATGCATCCCACAAAATGGGTGGAGTTGTATTATTGTCATCGTTGATTTGTAAGTATTCAGTTATTTCTTTAGATAATTGTTCACATAGCTGATTGTTGAGTATGCTATTATTCAGTCTCCAGTGAGTTAGTTTTTGTTGTTGAGACTTGGATATATATAGATATAAAGGAGAATGATCAGATATTTCTCTCACTCCGATCTGACATTTTTGCATTCTATTGATGTCTGTACTAAAGGTAAAAAAATAATCAATTCTGGAGTAAGAAGAGTGTGGGGACGAGTAGAAGGTATAGTCTCTAATTGTTGGGTTCAAATACCTCCATACATCTACAAGACCCGTCTCCGACATCATAACTTTAATCTTTCTTGTTATTTTCTGTGACTGAAATAATCTATTACTAGTTGAATCTATGTGTGGATTTAAAGTTATATTAAAATCTCCTCCACAAATGAGCATTCCTTGGCTCTCTGTCACAGCTTTGTCTAAAATATTTAAATAGTCAGATTTAGTACCAGGAGGGATATATACATTATAAAATGTAAACATTTCTCCACCCAGTTTACCTTTTACCATCACATATCTGCCTTCTTTATCCTTAACTGTTGCTATATGCTCAAATATGACTTGACTTGATATTAAAATCGCCACACCTCTTGTATGTTTTATCCCGTTAGAAGAGAAAAAGACATATTTAAAACCCTGCCTCTTAAGTCTTTCATGTTCCAATCCCGCCAAATGAGTTTCTTGTATAAACGCCACATCTATATTCTCCCTTTTTAGTTTTGCCAGTATTTTACCTTGCTTGGTTGCACTCTGTAGCCCATTTACATTAATCGAAATTAGTTTAAGCATTTAGTTGAGACTTAATATAATGTCTATCAATAATTAACAAAACATTCTCCAATATAATCGTAAGGACAATAAGACAAACAAATGTAACCCCCACTGTTGAATTAGAACAAAGAAACATGAACAAAAACCAAAAAACCAAAAACCAAATAAAGTCTTCCTTATCCTCAGGGTCAGTTGACTCCTGTATGTCTCTGTTGGTGAGCGAGGAGTAAAGTCCGTCCTCCCGGTCGGAGCTCCCCCTTGCGGTGAAATGCTGAACCAGCCAATACATTCCTCGACCACAATGAGTCCAACAAATACGAACACTAATACTAATCTCTACTTCAACCGATTCCAGTTTCAACTTTCTACTTACAGCATCATGGACAGAATAGAATCAGTTACCTCAGTTATGAAGATAAACAATAAAGCTTATTAGTCTTCTAGGATCCATCTCCTCTTCTAAACTCTTGTAGTTTGCGTCTCACCCTCATTCCGATCGTTGCTCCTCTCTCATCTGCAACCACTGCTTCCCAAGGAAAAGCGCGGCGGATTTTGTCCTCCATATCCACACTGGCCGTTGTTCTCCCTCTAGTTGCAGACACCTCAATCCCCCGCGCCCTCAGATCACTCGCCGCGTCTTCAGCGTCTCCGTAAGTCCGCGGCCCCGTACTCCAGTGGATGCGAATCTTCGTGAAGGGCGTTTGGAAACGGATGCCCCTCTCTTTAAGCGCCGTTTTTATTTCTCCATATGCTTTACGCTTCTCCAAAACTTCATAGGCATAGTCATGGTCAAAGTAAATCTGTTTATTATCAAACATAATCCTCTTCTTCCATGCCAGCCTAAGGATGGTCTCTTTCACTTCAAACTGCAAAAAGTTTATGATCACAGATCTTGGTGTTGCGCCTGGTCCCGGTTTTTGCGTGGAAGCTCGGTGAGCTCTTTGAATCTGGAGAGACATTCCCTCTGGTAACTGTAGCTCCTTAGTGAGCAAACTTCTCACAAAGTCCATCACAGACGCGCCCTCTGCGCCCTCAGGAATCCCGTATATGCGTATGTTGTTTCTTCTGGATCTGCTTTCTAAGTCAACAACTTTTTCCCGCAATCTGCGTTGTTCCCTTAATAAGCCAAGCAGGGCGTCTTTGGTCACTACGCCGCTCTCTTCAACCTCTGAAATACGCTCTTCTGCCTCGGCAATGGCTTTGTCGTGTCCCTCGAGTTTAGCTGCTTGGTCCGTTAGCTTTTGGTTTATGCTCTGGGTAATAGTCGCCATCTCGACTTTTAAGATCTCTGACCATTTCTACCTTAATCTCCTGAAGTGCTTTTATGAATTCGCTCTTGAAACTTCGTAGATCTTTGTGAATTTCACTTAGCGTTAGGGAGTTTTCTGCGTTGCTCGCCACTTCGTCATTCGCACGTAGCTCGTCACCAGCAGCTAGCTCGTAGCCATCTTCTACTTGGGCTCCGCGTCTTTTTTCGGCATATCTTCTTCCATGTCCGCTTTCTTCGTATGTTTCTGTCCTCTTTTGGATCGGCCCCCACTCATCGCTTTTTCTAGACCTTCTTGTGGTAATTTCG